AAGTACACAAGTTAGCCTCTATAATGAAGATACCAGAAGTTGAAGCTTCTGTAAGCTTCTTCTTCCTCTGATCTTCTAGGTAGAGTCTGCAATTTCTATACCAATGCCCGATGGCATGACAGAAATAAGGAGCAACTGTTAGTAGCCACTGGAATATATATGGAACAATCTGTCGTAGCGGAAATGCTGCAATAGACTACAGTGTGCCGGTTGGATGAGATTCAATGAGCCTTTTTCATTCAATTTTTTCTCGATTCTGGTTTCATCCGCGGAACAGCATTGCCCCAATATGTGAAGAACCAGAGAGACATGGCACTTGATTGCAGCCATCAGGTAATAGTCAAAACATATCTCAACTTCTGCAAATATTGGCTAAGATGTTATGTTCGGTTCGGGGTTGAATCGTTTCGAAAGGCGTGTTGCGAGTGTGGAATCGATCTCCTTGAATGCCCGGTTTGGCACAGCCGGGGGCTGAGATCAGAGCCAACCCCCAAACATTAGAGCAAACGTCTTCTTCTTTGTGAAAGTTCTCCATAACACGGTATGTTAGATGCAAGTTGGTTTGCTTGGAAATTTTCATTTAATAAAATGATCAAACGAACAGAGTTCTAACACTATCATATGTGTAGATGTCTTAGTGAGATACTCTGACTCGGCCAGAGAGTTTCACTGTATGCCTGGTTTACTAAAACCAGAAGCCAGATTGAATCAGAGGAGCTATATTAGAGAATAGAGACATGTGTATGTTCTTGGGTTGATTTCGGTTTATATTTTTGGTTTAGTTGTTTTGTATTTTGGTTCTTCGGTTTAGACCGGTTTATGTCTCTGGTTTATCTACTTCAAGTACTGTAGGCGACAATCCTTTATATTTTCTGGTCTAATTGTTTTATGGACTCTCTCTCTCTCTCATTTTTCTCTCTGCAAATCCAATTTCGCAATAAGCTAAGACAAGAGTTCGCATAATCTATGGTGATAGAAAATGGCGGAGCAGTTACAAACTAAACACAGGGAACTATGATTTACATTTTTCTGAAATTAAAAGAGCTTTACATCAAAATATAAATTGAATTATATGAAATATTTAGATAATATATAAGTGAATGTTATGAAACAGAAATATCAATACGTTTTCTTTGGTTTTTCCATGCTCCCACATTTCCATTAACACTCTATTGAAATTAAATATGTTTAATTAAGGGTAGTTTAAAATTTCAATCCTCGGGAGATGGAAAGTTCGAATCTTTGCTTTTAGGGAATTATTACAGACTAAACCCATTAATCTGTACTCATAAAAGTATCGATTTTCCCCAAAAATTTTGCTGGTTTTACATCTGACCCTGAAGGGTTAGATCGGTAATACATAGATCTTTGATGGGTTCTGGGAATTCAAAGAGAACCGACAGGCAAGACTCGTTTTCCTCCCGGTCGGATTCGTCGGCGTCTTCAGATCAAGAATCTTACATTCTATCCCGCCCGGGTTTCTTCCAAGAACTTCCATGGATGTTGGAAGGCGGCTCAGGAGGCGCCTGCGAATAGCACCTCGGCTGAGGATAGGCGTAGTCAGAACTGCAGATCTGTTGGGGTGGATAGCTATAGCTTTCTTGACCGTATAGAATGTAAGATTCTTGATCTGAAGACGCCGACGAATCCGACCGAGAGGAAAACGAGTCTTGTCTCTGGGTTCTCTTTGAATTCCCAGAACCCATCAAAGATCTATGTATTACCGATCTAACCCTTCTAGCAACTCCGTAGCCCGTTCTCCTTTTCTAGTAAAAGGAGATTTTGTCATCTTGCCCATCAAACAAGAATCACATGATTAAATTGACTCATAATCAAAAGAATCAAGAAGTCCATCAGAACGAAGCTTTGCAATGCGTTTCTCGTTGATGTGGCCAAGTCGACAATGCCAGAGATAGGTCGGGTTTAAGTCATTCGGCTTAAACCGCTTGGTACTAACGTTATAGATCGACCTGTATCCAGATGGTTCATCTTCCAAAACATAAAGGTCATTAAACTGGTAACCCTTACCATAGAATAAATCGCCTCTATAAATGGACAGACATTTGTTCTCAATAACAAATCTGAAACCATCTGAGTCTAAACATGAAATCGATATGATGTTCCT